AAGTTTCCACGTACACCTTTCACATGTTGAATGTTGAATGCCAAAATGGGATGAAAAATTCTCAATACTTTCTATATGTCCACCGTATGTGCACGTTTTCTGGGTCGTGGTGGGTTGATCTTTTATCAAAGACATGAAAACAATTTATAAAAAAACCCTGTTAAGGCAAAATGGAGTTTTCAGACTCGGTGGTGATAGAAAGAAGTTTATGAAATAAGATTCTGTATTCTGTCGGCGGATCCGTAAACCAATTGATAAAAATCGCCATTCTGATGATCTAAAAGGGCGAATATTTGCCTGAGGTTGCGCCTCAGATGAACCGAATATAGGAACGTTCACATCAATCTAAATATACATAAAACAAATATTCTTTAAAATGCGTTTAATGTATTTATGTTGTGTTGAGTTCATCACAATAAATTTTAATGCTATGGATTAGCATTCAACTACATGTAAACTAATGTAGTCCTCAGAGAATAATTTGTGTCGAACGAAATGCACTGACACCTCATGACCTCGAACTCTTTTAACCCGATATATCGTTTCCTATCAGAATCACCCGTGAAGATCCGGGGTGGGAATAGGTCTTCAGCAACCCATGCTTGCCATAAAAGGTGACTATGCTTGTCGTAAGAGGCGACTAACGGGATCGGGTGGTCAGGCTCGCTGACTTGGTTGATGTATGTCATCGATCCCAATTGCGTGGATCGATGCTCATGGTCTCAATCACTGGATTGTCTGGTCCAGACTCGAATCTTTACAGACCGCCGACATATAGTTGGAATATTGCTGAGGGCAGCGTTAAACAACAAAGAAAGAAAGAAACAATCAATATTATCATGGTCTTATTATCGGCTTAGCGCTTGTATCGAACTACTGAAATCTCGATATATTTCGATGTCACCGGGAGGAGTTGAGACATTCGTCGTATTAAGGAAGGAAACAGAAATTGGACAAAAACTTCAACACTCACAGCGTTAAATTCACGTGAAAAAATATATCAATTTGTTGGGTCTCTTTAATTGTTTCTTTAGCGCCGCAGTCAACAATATTCCAGGAATATCACGGAGAACTGTGACTAAATTACCCTGTTTGTTTTTTAACGCCGCACTCCGCAATATTCCAGCTATGTGACGGTGGTTTGTAAATCTGGACCGGACAATCCAGTGATTGCCATGAGCATCGATCTTCTCAATTGGGATACGATGACATGCAAGCCATCGATTCTGACTCCGTAAGTGGCCGACAAGCATGGATTGCTGAAGACCAATTCTTATCCGGATCGCCACGGGTCTATTTGACTCTGGACCAGGCAGGTGATGGAGAAGACACATCGTCTCATGGGTAAGATGACACGCAGGTCACGGAACCTGACTACTCGATCCATTTTGGTCTCCTCTTACGACAACCAATAGGTTGTGATTATTGTAACCAGCCATAGAAAATGGGACTAGTCCTGTTGACCCTGCCCAATAGTTAAGGTGTCATAGGGAAAAGTAGAAATAAACCATTTTTAAGGGGTTTGACGTATGTTTTCATTATAAGGACCAGTAGACAAACCATTATCAGTTTCTATCGCTGGTAAAAAAAAATCCCATGTGTTTTTTTCTTTCAGTCAATCTTGCAGGCTACCATTTAGCTATGATAAAGGATGACCTTCCTTTTGTTTTATAACAAGATATAACAAGAGTTAGTAGATGACATATATGACAAGGGGCTCATAAAATGTCAGAGAGAAAACTTTCCAAGCACAGCACACAGGTTATTTATTTTGTTACATAATGCATATGATAATATATACATGTACTGTATGTCAACGGGGCCACTATATATACATGTACATGGAAATCACCAAGAAAGTAGAAGTGTTATAGAAAGACTTACAAATTAAGTTATTCCCTCAAAGCAAAGACAGGTTGTGTCACAGTATTGTAGTCAACAGTAGTAACATGTTAACAATGGCGTCGACTGCAATTAAACAAAATGTCGATGTCAGCACTGATGCTAATACAGTCCTCTTCATATATACTGAAGACTACAAAATAATGTTAAATTCTATACATCTTGGCCCGTTCTACAAAGTGATCTTAGCGCTACGATTGTCGTAAGTTATGTAAAATCATGAGAGATACGGTCGTCAACAACGTTAAGGGCGCTTTGTGTTAAGGACCACAGAGCTGAAACTGCAGTTTGGGAGAATTTAAGGGTGTTGCCGAAGTGCCAAGGTGATATCAAGGTCAAAACTTAAAATATGCACCATTACCAGTTACACATATATCAAATTTACATACATGTTGAACGGAATTGGTTAAGTAATGCTTTTAGTATTAAGCCTTATAGACAATCGGATTCGAACTTCCAATTCTTCAATTGAAACTTCAATTCAAATTAAAATATCATCATTTGTGGGATTCATTGATCCAGAGTTTTCAGAAGAAGATGCTTACAGTCTACGCTGACGAGACGATGACAATCAGATCAGGACATAAGAGACCGAAAACAAGAAAGAAGTACCCCCGTTATCCCCGCTGGTCAACAACAAATAGTAAATAGTTTGTTAATTAATGAAATATTACATATTTCTAACTGATTTTAACTTCAGTGTTTTAAGAACTAAGATTGAGTTCCAGTGACAAACACATACAAATGGAACAATATCATATAAGAAAATCAATAAATTAATAATTTCCATCTAGCCTTAACAGATATGGTAAAGAATTCATAAATTCAAACTAACACAAAGCACAAATACTTATGATGATCTACATGTGTGGAAACAATTTTGGAAAATATATTAGCTATACAAAACCAGTCATCAAAATTTCTAAATTCCATCATGTTTCCATGAAAACAGCAAAAGAGAAAACTTTCAGAATCTTATAAAAGATAAAAAAAACAATCATAGTGGTTAATGTAGCAAGTTTGCTGAAGCTAAGATACATAATATTGTAAACATGGATCGTACAAAAACTCTACCCAAAATTTATGTTTCACCATGATTCCATGGAAACGGCAAAAATGAAATGAATGTGTGTAGAAAGCTTGATGAAGCTAGGATGCATGGTTAAAAAGATATGGGCCGTACAAGACACCCGCCCTAAAAGTTTAAGTTTTTTAATGTTTCCATGGAAACGGCAAAAATTAAAAAGTTCAGAATCTTCAAACTAGAAAAAGGCACAAGTACACATTGTGGTAAATGTGTGTAGCAAGTTTGGTGAAGCTGGGGTGCATGGTTAAAAAGTTATGGGCCGTACAAAAGCTCGGACGGAAGGACGGACGGATGGAACGCTATATCCCCGATTTACTTCGTAAACGGGGGTATAATGAAATAGTCCTTGAAACTTCTCGAAAAATATGCCTCAGACTGCTGGAAAAAAGAAATTGTCCGCCTCAAAAATTACATTGTCGCAAGGTGATTTTTTCAGGCTCACAGTATTGATTAAGAATTTTGAAGCTGTAACTGTAACAATATCTAATCTGCATACAAAGTCCTTTCAGTCAGATAAGCCCCCCAAAAACACATCAGCACAATGATAAATTAGCATTTGCCATATGAAAGCATCAGAAATAACGTTAAGTTAACGAAGTTCATGTAACTAACAAACACTTTCACTGTACACAGCAGACAGAATTAGAACATGCTTAATAAGTACAAAACTGCCAACAAGACATGAACCTCTGTAATACCAGTGAGTGAGTGAGTGAGTGAGTTTGGTTTAACGCCGCTTTTAACATTATTCCAGTTATATCACGGCGTGTCAGCTTAATGTGGGAGGAAAGCCCGAAGTGATTCAGGTGTCAGACGTTTACCACTTTGGTGAAACCCACGAGCACGGGTATGGTGCTGACAAACCAATGGTGCTGGCGAACCGGGATTCGAACCCACAATCATAGGTTTCTGGCGTGCCCAAGGTCGCAACTCTGCACAGCGAATAGCGGCGCCTTAGACGACTGGGCCACCCGTGCCCCCTGTAATACCAGAGACAACAAACGATCATGAATAAATATCTGAACATATTAACCTGTACTTCTTTTCCAATGTATTTTTTCCGTCGTTTTATTACAAAACTGTTGCTATTTCATTGAGAACATTTATTTTATGGACCAAATCGTAAGAAGACACATTTCTCACTTTTAGTTTTAGAAAAAATATAATTGATCACACATGAACAGAACGATATTGACGACAGGCTATTAGCACTTATGCATTATTGCCTACAATTGATGCATGGAAACAAAGAGGTAAACATCACTGGTTTAATTACTTCAAATCATGCGTGGGTTGATAATATGATTTGACGTGGTTCTATGACTTATCGGAATAAGTTAACATGTTTATTGATAATAACTTATTTCATAACTCGTTGGAATAAATTATGCATTTCAACGTGTGAGAGACAATCAATATATTGAACGGAGCAGAGAAGCTATGTTCTGTGAATCTGGAAAATACTTTTTTTTAAGCTTTTATTTTTAAAGAAATAAAAGATGAGTTGGAGATGTCAGCGTACAATAAAACACTGCAGGGTGAATAAGTGCTTGAGTGAGTGAGTATGGTTTTACGCCGCTTTTAGCAACATTCCAGCAATATCATGGCGGGGGACACCAGAAATGGGGTCACACATTGCTCCCATGTCGGGAATCGAGCCCGGGTCTTCAGCGTGACGAGCGAACGCTTTAACCACTAGGCTACCCGACCACCCACAAGTGCATTGAACCGAACATACAACAATCTAACTAATCTTTTTCACTTGGTTTTTGGTAATGTTCGAAAAAAACATTTAAAAGAATGTACTTTTTAACATACAAAGTTTGATTTCGAAAGTGCCTCAAATCATTAAAGAGAATATTGAATAAATTTGTTATCATGGACAAACGGTTTGGGGGAAGGGTTGAGAGATAATTTTTGTAGAACAATTGTTCCAGAACATGTATACATCCCTTTAAACTATCTTTAAATGAAACAGATCTCGAATAAGTACAGTATGTAGTGGTCTTACCTTCTCAGGTGAACCTGGTCGTGTGGGGAAGAAGATGAAACTTCAAGACCAGTGTGGTAGACCACCTATAGCCAGCTTAATGAAGCGATTCGATTAAGCATTTCTCTGTCGCTATCACTCATATATGTAATGCTTGGTCGAGTAAATCCTTCATTACTACAAGTTCATTGATTCCCTCACTACATGACGCAGTTACATACGTTGTCTAATTGGCCATTAATTCCGTACCTCAATTTATCTTATCAATAATGTCAGATTGGTTTCAATTAGTATCGCAGCAAATGTTCAGGTAATCAAGAACCTTTTCAGGAACTGTATAATTAGATGTTTAGACAAATAAGACTCGGCCCAAACAAAATTCTTAGTATAAAATCGTTTCTGTCGACACGATGTCAGGTAACTGCATGAGTGCATCACAAAAGTCAGACTTACCTGGCGGCCTTGGACTGCAGTACATTATCGCACATTGCTTGTGCTGAGACAAAGATCAGAAGAACAAGGCTTCTATCAATATATTTTTATGCCATGTTAATAGTGTTTTCCTTCTAGTTTGTTCACCCGCCGTGATATTGCTGGGATATTGCTAAAAGCGGCGTAAAACCATACTCACTCACTCACTCACTCACTCTAGTTTGTTCAAACAAATTTTATGGCTACAAAACGATGGCTGTTTATGATCAATAATGCTGTTCACCAAACAAGATTTAACTTTTTACCCCTTTCAATTAGATCATAAAAAAATAAAAGTAAATGCATGTTTAGTGAAAATCCTGAATGCAAAATACGATGTGAAGATATAGCTATATGAAAGGTACAATGTAAACTTTTAAAAGACATGTTGACAAACAATGTTAGTCCACAGCCACGTACTTCTTTTGCTTTGATTAGACAGCCGCTTCTTGTGCCATTACCTGTGTACTGTAGATTATATCTTAATCACTTTGGTGTGCCTTTTTATCAATGAAGTTTAACAACTGTCAATGTTTTGACAATCTTCGAAGTTATTTCAGCTTCTTTGGCGGCTTGTTTGAAAGACTTCTTTGGCTTTTTGTCCATTCCAACCTTTGAGTCAAATGAACCAGCAGTAAGCGGTGGGCTGAAACGTTCATCTATGACTGGATCAGATGATATAAACATCAGTCTTGGTACTCTTCACATAATCATCAGAATCAGCAGCATCTAGTGAATTATATTCATCATCATCGTCATAATCCATTGAATCTGATGAGACAGATGTGTCCTTGCCATATGATTGGGCACCGTCTTCAGAGTCAGATAAACCACCCGTAAAAGGTGAGTCTGAACTTTCATCTATGTTTGGATCAGATGCGATAACCTCAGACGGGGCGCTCTTCACAGAATCAGCAGAATCGGCAGCATCTAGTGAATTATCTTCATCATCATCGTCATAATCCATTAAATCTGATGAGACAGATGTGTCCTTGCCATATGATTGGGCACTGTCTTCAGAGTCAGATGAACCACCCGTAAAAGGTGAGTCTGAACTTTCATCAATGTTTGGATCAGATGCGATAACCTCTGACGTGGCGCTCTTCACAGAATCAGCAGAATCGGCAGCATCTAGTGAATTATCTTCATCATCATCGTCATAATCCATTAAATCTGATGAGACAGATGTGTCCTTGCCATATGATTGGGCACTGTCTTCAGAGTCAGATGAACTACCCGTAAAAGGTGAGTCTGAACTTTCATCTATGTTTGAATCGCCTCAGACGTGGCGCTCTTCACGGAATCAGCAGCATACACTGTATCTGTATCATCATCCTCCCCAAATGGATCTGATGAGAGAGATGTTGATCTCTTAACTTTATTTGTAGGCTGTAACGATAAGAACAAGTTGTTTAAGTGTTATAACCTAAACTTAGACAGTGCTAAATGAAAAATCTTTTGAAATGCTCAATGCAATAGTTTAAATTATGATACCAAGTGAGTCAAAATAGCATTCCAAAGAGTTTTCTAATGAAGTGTAAGTGAAATAGGCCGAAGAACTGAGCTATCATATGAAAATGAGCTATCACATCATGACAATGTATGTCTTGTCTGTCAGACAGAATATATAATTGGAGCTGCAGTCAAGGCACTTACCTGTGCAGAGAGACGAGATATCCTGAATATATCCATGCAGTCAAGGCACTTATCTGTGCAGATAGACTAGATATCATGAATATATCCATGCAGTCAAGGCACTTATCTGTGCAGATAGACTAGATACCCTGAATATATCCATGCAGTCAAGGCACTTACCTGTGCAGAGAGACGAGATATCCTGAATACATCCATGCAGTCAGGCCACTTACCTGTGCAGAGAGACGAGATATCCTGGATATATCCATGCAGTCAAGGCACTTACCTCTGCAGATAGACTAGATATCATAGATTTATCATATAACGGGTAGGTTTCTCTGTAGGATAAAGCCAACGGATAAAAACGACATCCGTTAGGGTCATATGCGGATAGAGATGCAAGTATCAAAGGTCAAGTAGGGACTACTTTCACTGTTACAAACAAACATGGCGTCGCCCTTGTCATTCGGCGATCGAGTCAGAATTAACCATCGGGGGCAATCTGGAGAAACTACTGGGATAATTGCTATCATTATCAAAAGAACAGTCTAATATACTGAAAATCCGTGTCTAACTGTGTCGTAGCTAAGGAATTTTGCAAGTCTGGGCAACTTTGGAGACATATATTGCGAAACAATTTTGCCAAGGCACTGGCCTATTGGATTCTCCCCTAATATAGATCTACACATTTAAGACTGTCTCTTTTCATCACTTTTGATATTGCTAAAAGCGGTGTAAAACCATACTCACTCAGTCAGTCAGTCACATGCACCCTGTGCCACATACATGATAAAAGGGAGATCACTCCCGTTAAGAAATTGCTATAATCCTGCAGATTTGCTGATAGCTGATCCTTCTGATATAAAGTGTATATATCAGCTTTTAAAAAAAGAAACTTTACCTCTCATTTGATTTTATCATATGTTTGATTTTAAGTTGAAAAGGTATTAAGTTAGCAATATTATACCCAAACAATGAAATGTACTTTCCCTTAGCCAGTACTCAAAGAATATTCCCACATCGTTTCTTTTTTTTATAATATAATTTGATTTATAACTTTACAAAATTTAAAACATTGTTTTCACATAATAAACAATGTTAATGGTTATCTCAGAATCTGATCTTTGAAAATAAGAAAATTTCCTTTTTCGACACATATTTACGACATTGAAACACGGTGGGAGGCATCGCTCATGTATGGTTGCAAATAATTACCCCAGTCTCCATTTAACCAATATATCTTTACAGAAAATAACCCAGCCACTGATTACTTTTTACAAACTGTTGCAGGAATGAGTGATAATAAAAATCGACACAATCAAATTTAACATTTCTTTTAATTTTCGAGTAGCCTTGTGGTTAAAGCTATCGCTCGTCACGCTGGAGGCCCGGGTTTGCTGCCCGTCATGGTACAAGGTTTGAGGCCCATACCTGGCGTCCCCTGTTGTGATTTTGATGGAATATTGCTAAAAGTAACGTTAAACCTCACACCCTCACTTACTTTCTTTCAATTTTCCATCAAATAAAACTCTGAGCTCTGAACTGAGTTTGGTCTGTCGCGTCTGTCACGTTGTCAGTGATTGCAATAGTTTTAATTGGTAAATTATATATATACTTTATTTTGTTGTTTTATAAACATATTTAATAGGGTGAAGAATAATGATTTTTCTTTTTTTTCTTTTCTTCATGCTTGGAATCACAAGAGACATGGACAAAATATGTCCTTTTGTACATTAGAAACGGGTTTACCTGATTGATTTTAACCTAATAAGTAGAACTTAAGGAGAAAAAAGGCAAAGGAAAGGAACTATGGTATTAACTTGCCTTATGTACATATACCTAGGTCACCAGGTCCTAATAAGATGTGCCCTTGTTTATTCAGTAATGTTATTTCATTTGGACCAGGACTGTATCAGGACATTCAACATGTTTCTTCTGCAGCTATGCCCCTTACCCATATCACTAGTCCTCGCGAAGATTATGTGACCGCCTCCGTCTGCCCTGAAAGCGGAAGGTCGGGGGTTCGACCCCGGCCGTGTCATACCAAAACCCGTTCAACGATGATACTTCCTGTTACCCTGTCTAGAGCTCGACATTAAAGGCCTAAAACAAGTACTGTCAGTATACTGTGTCTGAGTGGGGTGTTCATGTTTAACTGCCGCATGGTATCGCAGTGGGCTAGCACTATAAAATCAGCATTAATTAAGGATAAGTACAAGCAGACACACACACACACACACACACACACACACACACACACACACACACACACTCAATAATCTTGACTGCAACGTTGAACCCCATTTCACCTCACTCCACATTTGATGATGTGTAGAGAAAAATACTCTTTTTCGTTGTTTAGGCCACTGTTCAGTACTCTCCCCGAGCTATGTCCAACACCATCAGGACACTGATCACAGCAACATCAGAATTTCACTTAGGACAAGAGCCAATATCTACTGCTTAAGAAATGCACTAATGTTAAATCAGAGCAGTACAGATCAAGCTGCATTAATCATTTTCAAAAAGCATTTCGTTATTTTAGACACTGTCCATGTGACAGCAAAAGTATTAGGTGTTGACACCAAGGACCTAAAGACCCCTTGCCCTCTAGTTAAAGGGCTAGTGGAAATAAAAAGGCCTTAGATTTCTCCCAATGCTTGTAGTTACTGTAATTAACTTTTATTCTGTTTATTATCAGACTGAAAAAAAATGTCACCATCATCATCCTTATTATTTTTGTTTGGCCTGTGTGTCCTCATCACCAAAAACTTCCCAGTAGCTGCACGTGTGAATGTTTCCATTTCCATCTGCATGTGTGTAGGATATTGAGGATATCTCCATATATATGAGTGTCTCAACTGCAGGTATACTTGGAGTATCTAGTTTATCTTCACAGAAAAGTGTCTTGACTGAGTGCCCAGCTAGAATATTTAGTCTGTCTGCACTGATGGGTGTCTTGACTGAATGTATAGTTAGGATGTCAAGGCCTAGTTTATCTCCATATGTGAGTGTCTCAACCTGCAGGAATACATGGCGTATCTAGTTCATCTTCACCGATGAGTGTCTCGTTTGAGTGCATAGCTAGAATATTTAGTCTGTCTGCATTGATGAGTGTCTTGACTGAATGTAATGTTAGGATGTCTAGCCCTAGTTTATCTCCATATTTACCTGGAGTATCTAGTTTATCTTCACAGATGAGCGTCCTGACTGAGTGCATAGCTAGAATATTTAGTCTGGCAAGTTTCTATTAGTCCTTATGACACCTAAACTATTGGGCAGTTTGGCAAGGACTATAGGACTGGTACCAATTTCTAACGTTGTACAGGTAAGTGGCTATATCTAGGGTGTCTAGTCTGTCTGCACAGGTAAGTGTCCTCACTGCATGGATATATCTAAGATATCTAGTCTATCTGCACAGGTAAGTACCTTGACTGCATGGATATATCTATGATATCTAGTCTATCTGCACAGGTAAGTGGTTATATCTAGGGTGTCTAGTCTGTCTGCACAGGTAAGTGGCCTGACTGCATGGATATATCTATGATATCTAGTCTATCTGCACAGGTAAGTACCTTGACTGCTTGGATATATCTAGTCTATCTAGTCTATCTGCACAGGTAAGTGGTTATATCTAGGGTGTCTAGTCTGTCTGCACAGGTAAGTACCTTGACTGCATGGATATATCTATGATATCTAGTCTCTCTGCACAGGTAAGTGGCCTGACTGCATGGATATATAGGGGTTGTGTGTGTTTGGGGATGGTCAATATCCTGTATTAGGAATAAACATTGTGTTTAGCGAGCCTTGGCGAGCTAAATACATAATGTTTATTCCTAATACAGGATATTTACCATCCCCAAACACACAAGCGTGATAACCTCTTTACTATATAATGTCATTCTTCAATTCTGTGCTTTAAAATCGCTTTCCTTCTCTCACAAATATTACCGAAACATTGCAAGTTTTCCTGGAATGTGCACATTAATATATATTACGTCTCAGGGTAAGTGATGTGTCAGTCGGACAGCGACAGTAGCCAATATAGTTCCAACTGAAACATGTTTGTTGTACATTGGCGAAACAACATATACGCAAAACAACAATTGCCAACACGAATTGTTTTTACTTGCATTCCGTGGCAATCCATCGGTCATCGGTCAGTCCAGAGACGGAACGGCCACGGTCAGACGTTGTTGACAGTCTGTACTGTAACAACGTCTGACTTGTCATAACGTTAAAAAGTGCAGTGATATGTTCACACAGCGTAAAAAGAAAAAAAGGTAACAATTCAAACATATTTCGGCCAAATCCAACTTTTGTGGAAAGGTTCCAAGCCGCAGAGGTCTACAAGCACAGATATGGCGACTGATCCCGCTTGGCTAGGACTAGCCTTGATATCCAAATTCACAGTTCCTACTAGCCCAACTGGTAGAAATTGGTCGGAAATGATAAAACCAGTAATCTAATAGGCCCTGTTGACGCAAATTAGGTCCAGTGATTGACAAAAAGTGTGAACTTCTTGGTACATGGGGATGAAACGGCGGTACACAGGGACGTAGCCTAATTTGTAAACACACAGCCTACTGTCCAGTGTGCATTTTGATAGATCCATCGAAAGGTGTTTGGGTTCTTTAATTTTCAATGGCACCAAGCCCAAGTCAGTCTGACAGATCTGTACTTTGACGGATCTGCTCTTTGTTAACTACGGCTCTTGGTGTCCAAAATCATGACGAAAAGGGTGTAGGAAAATA